GCCAGTGTGGGATGGGCAAAAAAAAAAATCCCCGCCACCAACTGCCAATCAGGAAGTGGGTCAAAAATTCCTATCTGGCCCCAAAAGGCAACCAGAAAAGCTCACACTAGTACTGAGGGCGGGTGGGCAGGCGGATTGCAAGCCTCAAAAGAGGCTGAAAGGAGGGAGGAGCATGCTTACATAGGGCACTCCTTCTCCCTCCTATCCTGGGTTGCATTTGCAAAATTCCCTTGTCTTGTGCGATCCCATGAGGGAGGGCAAAGAAGCTCCAGTGAAGGTCTGTCACCAGCAGAGCGGCCATTGTCCTATACACAGTATTAGCCAATGTACCTAAACAATGCTCTTGTTATTTCAGATGTCCCATCTGTCTTTGGGCTCACACACTTTATTTATTTAAAAACTGAGGTTGTATTACTAGCTAAAATCTAGTTCCAATGAAAATACAACTAATGAACTAAAGAGATACCCAATGCAATTGTACGCATATTTATGTGGAAGTAAGTTTCATTGTGTCCAGTTGGGCTTCCTCCTTTGTAAGTGAAGTTAGGCTTACAGATCCTAATCCGTAAAAACCTTTATTATTATTATTATTATTATTAGTAGTAGTAGTAGTAGTAGTAGTAGTAGTAGTAGTAGTAGTAGTAGTAGTAGTAGTAGTAGTAGTAGTAGTTGTAGTTGTAGTTGTAGTAGTAGTTGTTGTTGATGATGTTGTTTTATTAGATTTATTCATATGCCACATTTCTCCCAACAAGAGACCCAAAGCAACTCACAAGAATAAAATTCACACAATTTAAAAACACAATAAGTTAAATGTTATAAGATAAATTAAACAATAATTATTTAATATTTAAGATGCCAATTTGTTTAATTGGCTTTTAACAGTGTGAGAAGATATTGGCTGAAATCTTCTTAATGGAGCTACATTGTATAAAGCTGATGACAACATGAGCCATAGTGGATTTTTGGAAATTAAAAATTTCTTATCTCCCCTGTCTCAAAGTTCCTGAAGCAACCTTTCATCCTGTAGAAGTCATTGGAAGCCATGGGATGGAGGAAGTCTTTACTTCCAAAAATTGCCACCCTTGATAAAATCATCCTAGCAGTGGTGTTTATCAGACATTAAAGGCTCCCCCTCATTCCTCAGCCCCCAACAGCTTTCCCACAGGAGCCTCAGGATCTTGAGGGTAGGGGGAAGTGGATTTCCCCTCCTGAAAAATCACTGCACCTGATGATGTCATCAGCATTACATGGCATAGCTCACACATGGTGCTAACACATGCACAAAAGCACCTTTGAGCTGCTTTAATTCCCTGACTTGGGAGAAGGGTGATATTTTGAATGAATGAATGAATGAATCCTTGTTTTAGGTCCTCATTGCTTGCCATAGCCACACACAAAAGAAAGACTGAAAGGATTTTTTAAAGTCTTATAGCTTTCTTCATTAGTTTTATTACAGTCACAAAAGACATCTCTTTTGGTGTCTTTGCTTTCATAATCATCCACTTCATGCATGGGCAACTTAAACATCATCTATGAATGGACTTTAGAGGTAGTCATGAGACATAGGGAGACAAGACTGACCTTACCATTAGGCACAGTGTGGGAGCCCTTTCAGGGAAAAGATGCTTAGGGATGTAGCATAGTTGGAACTGTCCATGCCATGTGATCAGCTCTTTGCCCTTTTTACATCTGGTGTGTACAGAGTGCAAAATAATTAAGGGAAATGTAAAAATGCAACCATGAAATGTACGTTGTGCTGAAGAAAAATGAGGATTCAACAGCAGTGTACAAAAGGATCTCTTTCCTAGCAAGCTAACACTTGAGTGTGAACACATAATCATTTAAAAGAAAAACTAAAAATTGAGAAAATATCTGGATCATTGGACTCCTGGAGCACTACAGTGCAGGTACTGTATATTAAATTAGTAACTCCCACATTCCTTACCCAGTGCCTTGCTTACTTAGCAAAGTCATACCCAAGCCAAGAAGATTCCTATGGAAGCAGACAACTACAAAAGAAGGTGTAAATGGGAGCAAGTCAAAATATAAATGATGAGTTGTTTTATTCAGAGTTTTTAGGAAAGCTAAAGCAATGCAGATTCCCTTAGAAAATTTAAGTAAGACGTTTCTTAGTGAAGGAAAATACCATGGTATCAAACGGCTAGCATACATGAATTGTGCCAATTGACAGTGGAAAACTATATGACTGAAATAAAAATATAGGGAAGCAAGACACAGATACCAGGTACCAGACATCACAAAGCATTGGCAGCCCAGAAACCATCAGGCAACATGTAGCAGCAGCACTAGCAGTAACAAAAATGGATTTTCCTCCATAGATTTAAATAGGTAGATGGTTAAGTGAGCACATAAAGAATGCATTGTTTTTCATATATGTGTCTGAATATGCTAAAAGCCGAAATACTATATTTCTCCTTCTACAGATTTTTACTTTTTAAAGAACTGTAGTCTCTGCTTTTTGCCTGAACTTAAGGTTTGTTTCATATTTTAGTATATTTCATATTTGCATCTTTCCAGATTTGGAAAAAAAAATTATGACTTGTACTTGATTTATAAGCATTAGCACTTTTAGTTTTTTCTTATACCTATAAGATTGTTTTTGATGGTTTTTAATATTTTTATGCATAAAAGCAACAAGATAAATACAGCTTGTAGAAATAGGCAAGCTGGTGCTGTCTCGAATCATTTTTCTTTACTTATTTCACCATGAGTGACACAATGATTTAAACAATGGTTTGTGTACCTTGATACCCAGATTGATATAATTGAAAATGGTTATCTGCTCTTACACTGAAATTAACCCTTTCAGACCATCACAGACTCAAACGAAGGGGTGTTATAAATCTCACAATACTCTGAGGACTATGTTCCAGTGTCATATACTTGATCTTGACAATGGCAATGGCAATACACCAGCCAAACAAAGGCATAATGACAACTAGTTGTCTGCTATACTGAAAGCTTTCCAAAAAAAGAGGGTTGTCTTGCCATCTCTTCTTATGTTTGCATCTCAAGAACTCATTAATGACCATATTTTAATGAGGTCAGACTCTTAGGAGTGTACAGAGTATTACACCAGCTATATAACATCACTGACCTAGACAATGGGAAGCAGGCACTCTGAAAATGTAAAATGTGTAAATGGGTAAATTGCTGTTTAGTCAACTTAACTGATCTGTGACCCTCTGGATCATGAACTACTAGAATGTCTACATGCAGGTCCACAATCTAACCATGTATTAGTAAGTTTGGTTTGGGATGTTCAGGCTAGAATATCTCCCCCTTTAATTATTTATTTTCTTGCTCTATCCCCAAGGATCTTGAGATGGGTAAATCTTGATTTTCCCTCAATATTTTATTAAATGTGAGATTGTGATACAAGTGATACAAGCTGACTAATTCCAGGCAATCATCTGAGCTTCACTACTGACTGATCAACTGATTGAGTGATTGCATGTCTATGTCACTGTTCAAGTGATACAAGCTTACTAATTCCAGGCAAACATCTGAGCTTCACTACTGACTAATTAACTGATTGAGTGATTGCATGTCTATGTCACCTTTCCACCAACATTGAAACTCAAGGCAGCTGGTATACTGTTATTCAAATCTGGATTTCCCCAGTTCTGAACTCAAGGCAGCTGGTATGCTGAGATGTTATTCAAATCTGGATTTCCCCAGTTCTAGCCTGACACTAATCATTTTGCCACATAGACTGCCATTGGGAGAGAAACTGCAAGAGAGAGACTTATTACAGCTGGAATAGGGAACCTTGTTTTAGTTTTCAGGACTTTCCCTTCAAACTGTGCTTACGGCAGGAAAGGTGTTGCACTGCAAGCTTGCCCTTGAATGCACATACACACTTGTGCTTGGTCTTGTTTGTGAAGTCTCCAATCTGCTAAGAATGAAGCCAAGTTGTTAATAAATGTCTTTTGCAGTGATCCGGCCATGGATTCTAACTGGCATTTTTAATGCACCGGTGATGTTTCTCTTAGATGGTTCCTTTTTTGTCATTTCTTTAGAGAAAAACAGGGCTGACCCTGGTCATTTTATTGAATAGAATCAGTAAATGATGCAACTTCCATAAGTCAAAAAGTCTGTCTACACAGCACATTACGGCAGCTCGATTCCACTTTAACTGCCATAGTTCCATCCTATTAAGTCCTAAGTGTAGTCTGATGATGCACTTAGAATTTGCTACAGAGCTCTGGTGCATTCCCCTGAATTACAACAGAGGATTCTAATGTAAATAGCTCAACCAAACAGCAATTCTTAAAATTCCTTAGAATTGCAGCTATTGTGCTATCAAACTGCCATACACTGTCAGAAATCCTGTTGGGTACTATAGTAAGTCACACTAGAGTAGGCCCATTGAATCAGCGAGGATTTGTTGAGTCACCTCCTCCATAAATTCAAGTGATTGAAATGGGCCTACTCTAGTTCTAACTTACTACACTAAGCAACAGGATTTCGGCCACTGTATTGTTGTTCTTAAGCGCTATCAAGTTGCCTCCAAATTACGGCAACTCTATAATGAATTGCCCCCAAAGTCTATCACCAACAGCCCATTTCACCTTTTGCAGACGCGAGGCCATGGCTTCCTTTACTATATCTCATATTTGGTCTTCGTCTTTCCCTGCTGCCTTCAACACAATGTAGATACACTCAGTTATGAAGTGTTCCATAAGTCACATTGTTTTGGCATTTGTAGCAGAAAATCAAGCAAGTGCCCCCTTTCCTAACTGACACCAAAAATGCAGTAGTAATATATTAAACAACCGATTATCACACGGCGAGCTTACCTGGGTAGGGACCAACTGGTTATGAGACAGGAAATGTGCCTTGTCACTAATGACGTGGCATGACTGGGACAATAGATACATTTTTAACTGTTTTGATGCGCCCCTCCACTCTGCATGTGAGACACTTGACTCATTCTTTTTACAGTTCTGCTGAGATTTATTTTTTAAAAGACTTACTTTTTCGGCCCTCAGAATTGACAGCTGTTCTCGGATGTACACGATTGGAGACTCCAGGTAGCTTTCCAGGCAATGAGTACCTATGGGGATCATAATTTCCTGCTCTGAAAGGTTCTCTCCCTGCCGCCACAACAGCTCCAGAACATAGTACCAAGGCTTGAAGGCTGGGCACCTAGAAGAAAAAGAACAAACAAGCTTCTTTACAGTGCAGAAGAGAAGCAAAGGTTCTAATATTTTGATTAAAACTATTGTTTCTGTGAATACAAACTGAACTTTCAACAAAGCGTTACACTGTGAAGAATTTCTTATTCAGTGTTCCAGGCAGTCAGCAATTTTTTCTGCACACCTGGGAGGCAGTGATGCCTTCTTCCTGTTTCACATTGACCTGTCTTGGAACCATGTAACTACCTAAGTTCACTTTCCTTGTGTGTGAAAGAGAAAAGGGGTAGGAGAAGGGGAGAGAGATTTTCTAATGCATGTAACTTGTGACAGATCTTTACTAACCATGGATTTAACTTATCATGAGATACCTGATGGTTCTCTGCTTCCCTGCTGTGCTGAAAACAAAACCCACTCTGTGGAAAGAAGAGATTGCAAAGCTTCCCGCAGGGACCCTAAGCTCTCAACAGAAAGCTAACAGAATTATGTTCCACAAGCAGCCTAAACATAGAACAGGGCTTCAAGAGCTTATGATGTGGCTAGAACATGTGATAAGATTGAGGCCACTTCTGTGGATGCCCTGCATTAACCTCTGTGGTACACATGAGTATGTAGTAGAAGTAGAACAGGAAGATATGAGCAGGAAGCTTCCTGGTGGGGTTAAAGAGAAAGCTATCTCTTAAAAAAACAGCAGGATTTAAATTTCCCCCACTTCCGTCTGTGTGTGCGCACGTCTCTCTCTTCCCCATAGTGTCCGTTAAGACTTCAGGTTCAGATGACAAAGAAGCAGTGTATCAGACATCTGAAATGTAAAAGCCACACAAGAGATAATTCATCTGTATCAGAACAGTGAACTACTTAATAATTGCAGGAAAATGTTACATGGCACAGAAGGTGGTTCACAAATGACTGTACCACAACTGCCATTCTCTAATTCTCTGGGGGACAGAATAAGGTGTTTGTTACCCTATACTTTTCATAATGGCTTCTATAGATACTAAGGGTATGCTTTGGATATTATCCAGCCAGAAACTGGTCTCATAGCTTAATTATTTTGCCCTTTACAGTGGGCTTATTTACGCATAACAATAAAACAAAACCTTTAGAAGTATGTTACGTTGGGAAAGAGGAAGCATTCTGGTGCATTTGGACTTTCTGCCCACAGTGTGTTTGCTACAACATCCGAAGTGTGATCTCTGGCTTGTTCCTCTTCTGTCAAGTTGGTGTTATGAACATGAACAAACCCTGGCTTAAGTCGCTACCTTGTTCAAACACAAAAAAGTAGAGTTCTCAGTCTGGATATTATGATAAACGAATCCCAGACAATAAATCCTGGATTTGTTTGGCCACTTCTTCTGTCAGAAGGAGCCAAGTTGGAAGTAAAGCATTTTCTTGTTCACAGTAATTCCAAAGATCCACAGACAAGTGTGAAGTAACCTGATTGTAACATTCTATTCAATATAGTGTAGAAGTTTCATTTGTGCTATAAAATCTCTGACAGTTCATTCAAAATACCATTTGCAGATTCAAAATACCATATGCAGAACTTGGAAGTACATACATACATACATACATACATACATACATACATACATACACA